TATTCAGATCCTTTTTTATTTATGGAAAAACAAATGCTAACATTTTAGAAACTCGTATTTTGCACTATTATTGTTAGGCGTACCAGTTTATTTTACTACTGACAGTGTCTTCATAGTTTATATCTTACCTCATACAGTTTTCAGTGCAGAAATAGATTCAGGATTGAAAGCTGTATGTACTTGAGAATGAAGAACCCTTTTTGAGTTTGGGATTGCCACAGAAAGAAGGTGCCTTTCAAATTCCTCTAATCTAAATAGCCCCCAGAATTTTTCTTTGGGAAGGGAGGAGACAAGATGATCAAATTAAAATGCAAAAAATCATATATTATGTAACCTTAAGTCTGAAGTCAGAAATGCAAAAGTTATGGCTTAACATGAAACCTGAACATATGCATTTTGTGCATATGCATTTTGCGATCATACTGTTTCAAAATAAAATTTATTAATACGAAAACTTTTTTACAATTTTAGATATATGTGTAATATCTGTAATATTGATATGCTTTATTCTAAAGTACTATGGTATCAGCACCTTTTAGTAGAATAAAGATGCTATAATTCACACTTATTTGCTTATAAAGTTGCCACTTCTCTTTCTGGACATACACATTAGTGTTCTCAGTTATGACTCTGCAGTGGTACTTGACTCTATAACTTGAAACATCAGGTAATTACCTTCGTGACACATAGCACTTGGTCATAAATACATGATAACTTTAGTATGAAAAGGGCTAGTATTTAAGAGGTAACACATCTTTAAAGTGAAATTGCTTTAGAAGTGTTCCTTGGCTATGTTCCTTGGCCTGTTGTAGATGTAGAAATGGTATCTTTTTAAGATTAGTAAAATGATTCTAAATTTGGTTTCCTCTTGATAGAGGAAAATGTTACAGGAGCTTTAACATTTATCTCTGCTTTTGTTCTTTTTAAAAAAGATGTAAGGGAAACTTTATTGGGATAAAATGCTTCTTGCTTTTTGAGATTGGTTTTTCTCTTCAGCACCAGTAATCTGGGTAGGTTTTCTGTACTCAACCAGTTTCCCTGAATACTTGAGTTCAAGAGATGTCTAATTTCAGCAATCTTATTGTCTCGTTTTTATTGAATCTGATACATATTTAATAATTTCAGAGGTCGCAGCAGTGGCAAAGGGCCGCCTCCGCCTGCAGTAAGTACATATTTCATTGTTTCTCATAGTACTGTCTTGATTTGCATGGAAATTTAATATCTAATAACTTGAAAATTTCAATTCTTGTTTCAGGGAAATAAACTTAAATCTCTAATTTCGGTTCAGTGTAGATAGGTAATTTGAGAATAGCAGACAGTAAACTGTCTTAATTATCAAAGCTCTCTTGGTTTTAATACCTTTTTTGATATTCTAGCCATTTTCACAGACACTGTTAGGAAACACTTGGTCAAACATTGAGTGACTCTCTTGAAATTCAGGGCCTTGCATTCATTTAATACTAGTAGTCTCCCAAACACAGCACTTACCTACAAAATATAGAACTGTGTCTGTGTAAATCAATTTTCTATATATTCTTGGCAACTGTACCATACACGTGCATAGTAGTACATATATAGGTGTTACTCGTGGCAATGGTTACATATTTGTTCCTATTTGAGGCCTGTAATATTAGTCCTTCCCATAAGTAGAGAAGTCTAAAGCTAGTATAAGACATCACTGACTTGAACAAAAGCAACACATGTTTTAGCACTATTGATAAGGTTGGGCTAATTGTCTCTTAAACTGGCAGTTTAGTTTTGGTTATTTCAAATTCCATATAGCTCTGAAAAATGTTCTACAAATTAGCATAGTTATATAGTTTTACACATTTGGAGTTCTAGCGAAACAAAAATTATGTTAAACCTTGCTTCAGACACCTTTGATAAGCCCTTCCCTAAAAGCATGTATGTGTGTAACCTTGATATGGTGCTAGTTTTTAAGGGCAATTAAAATGTTTAATTTTTTTGTAGGGGGAGCGGGTGACTTGAAATTGCTATACCTGGTGCATCATTTTTACAGATAGAAAAGTGTCTTTATAATAACAGTAAAGCACACAATTTTCCCTTGTCCCTTCAAATGTCATATACTTTATCTGAGAGGCTAAAGCTAAACAAAATATTTTGTTTGATGTCTTTAAATCACCCACACTAACAAATATTGAAGTATGTACCTCTAAAGACGGTTTCTAAGAACAATGGGTGATGTCACAAAACATGTACTTCAATACATAAGCATAACTGGACTAAGCTAAACAGTTTGACACAGCCTAAAAGAGATGCTGTCAATTGACAGGCTCAAAATATGATGGGGTATTCATCTGTTTCAGCATCCGTTGGCTCACAAGAATGAAGCTGGCAGGGAGAGAGGAGAGATGTCGCACCATGCGCACATTCTCATCACTTAATGTATGCAAGTGCAAATCCAACAAATCTAGCATCATGCTTGATATTTGGTGGGGTTGCCTAGCCTAGGATCTTAGATTTTGATATGATTGTAAATCTAGTCTTGGTTTATTTAGAATATGTTCTGTGGTTGTCTTGGCAATTTGTAATTTGATACTTTTAACTGCTGCTAATATGACTGGGGTAGGGTGACCAGATATCCTGATTTTATAGGGACAGTCCTGATATTCGGGGCTTTTACTTGTATAGGAGCCTATTACGCCCCACCCCCATCCTGATTTTTCACACTTTCTATCTGGTCACCCTAAACCTGGGTCTGTTAGTTAGTCCCTGAAATGGGGGTGAAGGGGGAGGGGGGGGGAGAGAAGATTTATCAACAGGCTTTTAGCTAAAGCAGCTCTCTTTCTTGGGTGGCCGTTGAGGTATTTGCACCAACAGCCTGTAGTCTTAAACTGGAGGGCAATGATAGTAGGGCATGTTTGGGAGGATTTGAGTTTTTTTGGATGGCTTAATTCCTTTGTTGGCATTGAGTCAACTAGTGACCTGTGAATTAATGAATTTTGTGTTTTACCCTTGTCTACAGGAGTATGTAGTTCGCATGAAGCTGAGGTGTAAATCTGCCCCATGCTAGCCTGCCACACACTAACAGTTCCTTAGTGCACTTTGACCTACCCTGCTTTGGAACAGGAGTAGATCAGAGTGCACTGAGGAACTGTTAGTGCATGTCAGCAGTGTGCAGCAGGCTAGTAGATTCACACTCCAGGTTGATGCTAACTAAATTTATGTTGGCAAGCCCTGAGGAAAGTATTTGAACCACACGCTCTTACAAACTGGTATGTTCAATGTTGTAATATTTGAAGCTGGCAGTTCTTCCATTATCTCATTTGAATTGTTGTGGTGAATAGTTCTGCTTTTTTGCTTTCTGATACAAGCTTTTTATCTTTCAGATTTCTTTTGATGGCATCTATGCAAACATGAGAATGGTTCACATACTTACATCAGTTGTTGTAAGTCGTCATATGACGGGAGAGTAAACATCTCTAGAGATGTTGATACAGAATTAATTATAATATTAAACTAACCACAGCGTAATTGAGAGCCTTGAAATTAGAACAAGGGATATCTTGTACCAAGATTTAACCATGAGGAACCACAGTGGTGACTGTTCTGTTTTTCTTAGTTTAGAAAGTTGCAAGTTGCTTGTGATGGGTATGGTATGTTTCTTCCCACAACCCTACTTCTTTTGACATTGCCATCTTAGGATAGATTTTGAATGAGTGAAACAAATGGAAGTTTAAAAATCATTAAGTTTGAATACAGCACACCAAAAAAGTTATGTTTTAAGGAAAATGCTGGCACGGTGAAAGTAAGAAGTGAATCACCCAGGCAATCCCACATTCTTGCTGCTAGATACTTTGGGTAAGCTTTTAGCCTCCACCCTCCCCTTGCATGCATGTATATGTGCGCACACTTTGCTCTTGCAAAAACTTGCATGTGCACTTGAACAATTGTAACACTTGTGTGCCATAAATGTTTGAATTGACAACTTCAAACCCCATTAAGACAAACTCTTGAGTGCACACAGGTGTTTGCATCTGCAAAGCATAGGCGCATGTTTGTGAACGTATGGAAATGGTGATTGGGTAGAGGCCTGGCTAAAAATTGAGCCCTTCACATTAAATACATAAAGACACAAGTGTAGAAGAAAGCATTCAAATGTAACTTGACAGTCTTTATGCCAGAGTGAGAGAGCATCTTTGATTTTTTTTTTTTGCCTTACATTTTAGGGATCCAAATGTGAAGTACAAGTGAAAAACGGAGGTGTATATGAAGGAGTTTTTAAAACCTACAGTCCTAAGGTAACTTTTTTTTGCTTGTTTTTTTTTTCTTGATCAGTTTTCTGCAAAGCTCCACTGATTTTACTACTCAGTAGTAGAGTAAAGCAAATAATTCTTAATAAGTTCATTCAGATCTAGACTCTTTCTGTTTGGGAATTGCCCACAAACAGCTTCATTTTCATGAAGTTATTCACTATTTGAAATATGCCTAATACTTGTGGCAAATCTTGTTGTGTAGGTTGTTAACAAGTAGTTAATTGTTCAATAGTCAGAATATTTATTATTAAATTAAATATTTAGAATCAAACTCACTTGTATTTTTAATGTTAGTGTGATTTAGTGCTTGATGCTGCTCATCGAAAACCTGCAGAATCCAGTCTGGGGCCAAAACGGGAAGACATATTAGAGAGTATCTTGTTCAAGTCTTCAGATTTTGTTATGGTGCAGTTTAAAGATATGGACACCAATTATGCAAGGAGAGGTATGTTTCTGTATTTTAAATGGCTTTTTAAAATTGGGTATAGCTTTACATCATAAAGGTAAACATTTTAAATCTTGATGCTTTGGGTTAGGCTCTGAAAACCAAATGTAAGCACCTGAATAAGACTCTTCAGAAATGCTGAGTACCTGAAGATCTCATTAAAGTCAATAGGAGGTGCAGATGCTCTGCACCGTTTTGAAATCAGTCTACTTTTATTTAGGTGCTTAAATATATATATGTTGAAGCCTAACTTTAGGCACTCAGATTTAAAAATTTGGCTAAACATTGCCTGTAATTTTATGTTGTCTGAAAAGTTAACTTCCGGAAGTATTAACAAATGTGATGTTACTAGTTCTCTAGAAAATGAGGTAATTTATTCACAGAAATTGCTAAATTTTCTTACAAATGTGGATGGTTTGTTTGCATTTGTTTTAGGCACTTTAATGTTACATGAGAATCCATAAATTCATAAATACTTTTAAATGTATTGCATTCTTCCAAAAGTAATGTGGTATGTGAAGTCCCCTTAGTCAAAAATTAGGATTTGTCTCTGAACATGCTTGCTTAGAAAGAAGTCTCTTTTCAAAATCCTAAAAACGATTGCAAAAAAGGTGGAGAGTAAAAAGCTCAAATTATGAGTTTTTCTTAGGAAGGACCCACCTCTTTATATAAATAACTCACTTTTATTTCTTATCAACTGCATACAGCTTTATAGTTCAGACTTTAAAAAATATAAAAGAATCCAGTGGGACCTGAGACAAAAATGACCTTAATATTTCAAGCCATGGTTTGGTTTGTAACTGCCAGAAAGGGTTAATAATTTTATAGCATATCAGGCATCTGACAGCCAGTCACATAGACTTTTTGAGTCTTTTTTCTTTCTTCTCTTTCTACTGTGCAGCCTCCAAGACTGTAGTTATTTTTTGGTGTCTAAGATGTTCACAGGTCAGGCAGCTCTGCTTCTTTTGAAGGGTTTTTCTCTGTTTATAGCAAATCTCTATGGTCTCCTTTGTTTGCTTAACAAGTCCCCACTTTGCTGGACCACGAAAGAAGAAAGACAATCTATTCCTTTTTGTGCAGTGAAACAAAACCAAAAGTGCACCACCTGCGGAGCTTATACATTGGCAGGCCTCAACAAGTACCACTGGTAGGTTAGATGTTTGTGCCACAACAGCCTGGGATTTATTGCTGAAGAGACCATCCAGACATGGGATTTCTACACATCTGTGATGTAGAAGAAACATAACAGGAGGATCTGCTTTAATGCCCTCTGACCTGCCATGCGGGGAGGGATAGCTCAGTGGTTTGAGCATTGGCCTGCTAAACCCAGGGTTGTGAGTTCAAGCCTTGAGGGGGCCATTTAGGGATTTGGGGCAAAAATCTGTCAGGGACAGTACTTGGTCCTGCTGTGAAGGCAGGGGACTGGACTCGATGACCTTTCAAGGTCCCTTCCAGTTCTATGAGATAGGTATATCTCCATATTAATGTTAATCCTGAAAATAGAGCCTTGCTGATTCCAGGCTTTTGAAAGACCCTACCTTTTTAGGGGAAGGTACACAGTCCAAGCACAAGGGGCAGTGAAGTACAGAACTTAAGTGCAAATTCTTCCAGATCAGTTTAAAATGGCCTTAGCATAAATGAGAGTTGGGCTAATAATCCAGACCCTTGCAGTAAGCAGAGAGGTGTAGATTCTGTTACTTCTCTCCCACCCGATCTCCTTCCAGGTATCTTTCATTGATAGGAAGTATTCTAGGAGGAGCAGCTGCCTCAGACTAAAACGTCACCTGCTACATGTGGTTATTGGATGGAATCTCTTTGAGAATAAAGAAACTTTGGAAATACTAGATTCAGCTACTTGGAGATCAAAGTTTACCTCTGAGAACTTTGATGAACCTATAGAGATTTGGAGCAGGGTAGATCAGAGATGGCTGCAATGCATGATGATCTGTAGTGGAATATTCATATCCTCTCAATGGTGTCTCAGAAGGAATAGTACCAGGATGGTATTTGTAGGAGTAAGTGAACCTTCTGATCACACTTGAAAATTTAAAAGAAATAGGAGACTCCTTTGAGAAATAAGTAGATGAATAATAAATATAGACTCCCAGGGAGTAATGCATGCTTATGAACATACAGGAATTATGGGCCATCTGTTTTTTAAAAATAACTTCAGGTTTTTCTTGGTTTATAGTGTCAGACAGGCACTTGCCTTTCATAGTGAAAGCTAACGGTTCATGTTATAAGAGTTTCTTGGTGGAGCTATGTTCTCCTTCAGTATTTGTACTGGAAATTGATACATTGTAGTGCCTAGTTAATTTTGACAACACTATGTGTGATGTAAAATACAGCCAACTAAATTCTGTAGATTTCAAAAGAACGTGTCCAGAAGCCAACAAAGTTTGTAAAGCTCTGCCTGGCTCTTGAGAGCTCTGCTGTGAAGTAATTAGTCAGTGGACAGTCTGGCCAGAGTAGCATGTGAAAGGCAGCTCAGTTTTTAAAGAAATGGCCCTTTCATTCAGGTGACATCTCTGCTATGTTGCAGGACAGGCTCAGCTGGAAGCCTTTGCATGTAGCAGAGTAGTGTCTAAAAAAATGCTCAGGGTCAAATAGCTTTCTGGGGAGTGCTTCAGACAAATGTTCCCGTCATGGGGTATTAGTTCTAAAATTCTGTAGCCGTATCCTGATTCAGTAAAAGCCAGTCTCCTCTTCAATCCTGTGGATTTTTCTCTCTGTACATGCATATTCTGTTTTGCTGCTGTGGAGTTTTGTGATCTGGAAGTGCAGTTAAACAATGGTTTTGAGCCTGGGAGTAGCCTGGAAGACCATGGTCCACAGATCTCAGAATGGTGAAGAGACTTTTGCTATTATCCCTAAATCTGCTATGTCATAAACCAGTCATCCAACAGAAGATTCTTCCTGTCAAAGTGGATAGGACAGAAACTAACTCAACTCCAAGCTGATATTGGAGGTGGAAGAATGGGACAGCTCAGTTCATTTCCGGTCCTGTTCAAGGCTTTCTGCAGGAGCCATGCAAGTTTCTTGCCTGGAAATGGGGAATCCTTAGTGAAAGAGCCACCTGAAACTGTCACCTTGGCTGAATGCTTTGCCATTGGCAGATGTGGTGTTTGATAAGTGGAGTCTTTAAGGCCTAGACAAGTAGCAAAAGCTAGAGTCCGAGTAGACTTACCATATTCTCTTTTTCCATCTACAGGGTTCTCTCCAATTTATCTGGTAAAAGCCCATCTGCTCCACTGGCAAATAACAATTTCCTTTCCCTACTGACTTTCCCTGTGATGCCAGTAGATCACTTGTTAAAATAACTCTTTTCTAGTATACTACTAGTGCCCAATAATTCTAGTATCCTGCATCTTCTAATAGACCATGGCAGCTAGGGGAAAAATGATTGAGTCTTAGACTGTGCAGTGGAGAGGAATGCCTGCAGATTACAGAAATTTGAAGTGGGGAAGAAAGGCAAGAGGTTGGTTGCAGTGGGCTCATTACCAGTTTATTTTTAAAAAGGCTGTATGGGCCTTAACCTGTGTCTGTATGAGCTTGTGTGGTCTTCTGTGTCTATGCGGACTCCTGTTGGCTACAGTAGAACTCCATAGGTGAAAGGGCTGGGGCTAGGGCATCCCATTGCAGGATTAGGGCCTTACTCTGTGGGCTGCTTGATGAATAAAGCTAAATGGGCAGCTCAAGGCAATGAGGCTGCTTCCCTTTTTAGCTTCTGTAAATGAATATGCACTAGGAAATAAATATGAAGCTATTTGTACTTATTCATAGCCTTTGTCACAAGTACACCTCTACCTTGATATAACGCTGTCCTCGGGAGCCAAAAAATCTTACCGCATTATAGGTGAAACCGCGTCATATTGAACTTGCTTTGATCCACCGGAGTGCGCAGCCCCCCCCCCCCCGCGCACTGCTTTACCGCGTTCTATCCGAATTCGTGTTATATAGGGTCGCATTATATCAAGGTAGCAGTGTACCTGCCGAGTATGGGTACAAACTGTGCTTGTAGAATCAAAAGGCTGCAAATCCAGCCGTTGATATGCGAAACAGAACTTCAGTAATAGGTGACAATTAAGCAACTTTCTATTCCTAAATGCTTAAAGATAGAAGACTTCAGAGTACTTCGATTCAGACCAGGCTCATGTACACTCTTCAGCAGCTGCCCACTACCTTGCATGTATGGCTCAGCAGTGTGAGTCTCTTCCAGCATTTCCTGTAATCCTAAAAGCTGTCTTGATTTAAAATGCCAGCAATGCCAGCTCTCATGTAGTTTAAATTGGCTCAGATGTGGCTGATTGGCTCCCTCTTAAGAGAAGGTAATTCAAGAGGGTGGGTTCTGCTAGTCCAACCGCAGTATTCTGAAGTGTTTTGTTCACAGTACTTTGACAGTAAATCCGAGCTAGTACCACCAGGCTAAAATATAAAAAAGCAAAGGGAAATAGCTATCAAGTTCTTTTGGGGGGTTGTAATGGTGGAGGTGGCATCCTTCCAGACCAACTGTGTCAGCAGGGGAATGGTAGTAGGCAGAATGTGAACAAAGGAAAGAAATGTAACTGTGCAGTGGTGGTAGCTTGTTTTAATGCTTTCAAGTCAGTAGTAGGCAGGGACAATACACATCAGAGTTGTTACTCTTAAAACATTTAAGCTAAAACCACAATTTACTTCAAGCAAAAGTAAACTTGGTTTCAGTTTGACAAGTAATTTGAACATCATTGGTCTATAAAGCACACTGGCTTAGTAAAATCTGAACCTCCCAGTCATGCTTATGGGGCAATAATTAGAATATGCATCTAACAACTTAGAACCTACTTACTCATGAAAACAAGAGCAAATGAAACATTTTGTGCTAATCTCCCTAGTCACTCTCTAGCTCTGACAAGCTCTAGCTCTAACTTGTTCAAGAACATATTAATCTGAAGCTTCTCAGAACATGTGTATCTATATCTCTCACCTTTGCATACCATGCAATTTTGCCATGTAGAGAAAGAAATGCCATTGAGATTCTTCGCTGCTCAATTACAGGATTCAAAACAGGAAAGAAAAGGATTTGAATGCTAAAACTTTAGCCTCCTGGTGAGGATTCTGTGTCCTCATCCGGTCAGAGAGGCAGCATGAGACTAGCCAGGAACTGTTACATCTCCAGCTGTTACTGGCTTCATTTGCCTAAGTCCACTCATTACTTAATCTCTTTGCCTCGGTTTTACCAGGTATAAAATGGGACTGATTGTGGACTTGACTATCTCTCAAAGTGTCATGGGAATAGTTCATGACGTGCTTTGGTGATATGAAGTGCCATATACAATAGATGCTAAGCGTGTTTCACAGTCCTGTCTGTTACCATGCTGCAGAATAACATTTGTAGCTGCACTCCATGTATTGGACTGTCTTCCATGTTAACACTCATCAAAAATAAGAGCACTTTTTTATTTTAGGAACTCTTGCAGAATTCTTTGCTTTTCTCTGGTTTTCCAGAATGTTCAGTTGTTCATTAACTTTGCTAACTCACTTCTTGTTTGTTTTGCCTCTTATTTTTTTTATTTTATTTATCTCAATGCCCTGTGTATACTTATTTAGCTTTTAGATTACTGCTTCATGTTCTCCGTGTGGCTTTCTGAATTAACCTAGGCTATCAAAGATCTCAGATCGCCTTCAGTGAAGTAAGGGAACATGGCATATTATTGGGATTCTTCTGCAAGGAGTCACATGAGCATCAATTGATCTCTGTCGGTCTGTCTCAAAACATAACATAAGGGAATATGCTCCTGATACATTTAAAGTTTGTTCGGAGGCTGCGCATGAGATTGGAGTCATGTGACTAGAAGTCAGTTTTTTCCCCAGTATATATTTGCCTTAAGGGTAACTGTATTTTTCACATTTGAGATCCGTCCTGATGGTTAAGCTTGTGGAGCTATGCTCTATAACTTCATGAAAATGTGTCCAACGTGAGGCATAGGTGAAAACAGTGCCTCTGCATTGCTTCATAATAGTACTGGATTCTGATATTAATCATCTTGATAAGGATGACTGTACACCACTATATGTTACTGCAGGGGTCGGCAACCTTTCAGAAGCGGTGTGCTGAGTCTTCGTTTATTCACTCTAATTTAAGGTTTTGCATGCCAGTAATACGTTTTAACATTTTTAAAAGGTCTCTTTTTGTAAGTCTCTTTAATATATAACTAAACTATTGTATGTAAAGTAAATAAGGTTTTAAAAATGTTTAAGAAGCTTCATTTAAAATTAAATTAAAATGTAGAGCCCCCTGGACCAGTGGCCAGGACCTGGGCAGTGTGAGTGCCACTGAAAATAAGCTCACGTGCTGCCTTTGGCACGTGTGCCATAGGTTGCCTACCCCTGTGTTGCTGTTCTTAAACACTTACAAATTATGTGCTTTGTAGATTATAGACGCTGCTGTTAGTTCTGTAAACTTCATAAAGCAGCATATTTTTTCCCTTTAACCTTTGTGGCTTTTTATAGAGCTCCATTGAATGTTTTTTGTCTCCCTCCACCCCCAATATGTAAGACAAGGTGTGGGTGGGCAAGATAGATAAAATACCATTCAGGTAGTATTTATTCATGCTCCATCTACGTGGCATACTTCAGCATTGTGTTGTGACGCCACTTCATGGAAACTAGAAGTCTCAATAACATGCAAAAAGTTGTAAATCCCTCTCTACCTGGATACTGTATTACCTGATACTTGCTGTATTCTGTTGGGAATGACTTTTCCAGTTGCTGCTATGGTGCAGTTTGAAATTGGGTTTCCCTCTTGGATAAACAGTGACTCCAAGAGTGAGTTTGGAGACCACTCAATATCTTGATCTGAGAAGATACATTTTGTACTTCATACAAATGTAGGAGGAGGCCATTGAGTTCATTAAGTTGCTGCTTTGTTCCTGTGCCTATAAAAATGCCATATAGGTAAATATAGCGATTCCAAGAGACTATTGTGCCTTTTTAAAAACAGACATGTTCTCTTGTTACTATTTAACTTTGGCTTGATGCAACACTTACATTTTATTTTGTATTTAACTAATAGCGAGAAACATTGAAAGTTATTTTTTTACATATTCTACAAGTAGGAAGTAATGGAGACTTCTTTTTTTCTTTGTGCTGTTTAGATGCTTTCTAAGAATTCCTCACCCTGAAGATTTGTAGAATAGATTGAGATGCTTTTAGAAGGCAGAATGGGGGGGGGGGGATAGAGGGAGCTGTGAATGGAGGGACATATTTATTAAAATTTGAATGAGACGTATGGCTGTCATTTTTCAAAGATGAAGGATTCATAAAGATTTGTGATCATGACTTCAAAATAAATGAAGTTTAACTGTGTCTGAATTTAACCATGTAATGTGAAACATCTGAAAAATTGAATGTGTATTTTTATCTGATTTTCAATTTTTTTTTTCTCTTTCCATATCTGTTGTAGTTCCTTCAGAAACAGGTAACTTTTTTTGGCGGTCACTCTGTGTTTCTGCATCTTGCCTTTTCATAATGTTCTTGTTTCCATAATATGTAATGGAAATTTAATACCTCTGCTCGCACATTTATGGCACTATAAAACATGCATGCATAATTTCACAGAATCAGTTTTAGAAAATTGTACTTTTTGTTTTGTTTTGTTCTGAGCCTTGTAGAAAATTGATTTTTAGCTATTGCATTTTAATTGCTTGCAGTATGCGAAATATTATATCAAAACTATAAAGTGGTATGGTACTAAATAAATTACTCTTGCTTCAGAACAGCTTACAAGTAGCCCAAGTGCCTTTACAGCCACAACCTATGTGGCAGTAAGAGGTTAAAGTATAACCTCACTAAAAAGTGCCAACCTTCAAGGAGGAAGGTGCTATCACTGCTTTCATTGGCAGACTCTGCAATAATATTTTACAAGCTGACTTGATATTAATTTTTCACACAACAAGCCCTAAAAGTGACGTGGCCCCATTAGGGTATCTTCCTCTCATGTGGTTCCTTTTCTTTAATGGGTCTTTCATGTTCGGGGAAACTTTCATATTAAGCTAATATAATTCAGTTGTCTTATCTTTATACACATTCCTTAATTTTTATACTGTATTTGCTAATTAATGAAGCTGTTTATGCTTAAATGCTTAATCCTTCACAAGTATCCTATTTGGTCTTGCTATGCCATATATGAGCTGAGTATGTATTTTATAAGACATAATGCTGAATGTTGTTACAGAATAATTGCTGCAACAAATTGTGGCGATATAAGCGCAGAATTTACTGTGAAACTGGATAAAGCAGGAATAATAGTTAGGCTGTGTTGACAGCCTTAATTAAAACATGTCTTTAGTGATTGCAGATGAAATGTAACAGATTAGTGGCCAAGTAAATCTCTTATATAAATGTAAACTCTTCTCACAATGGCTTCAGTGTGCGTTCCTCTTCAATACAATTTCAGACACTGCCAAAATAAATTAAAGCTGCCTCCTTCCACTTCTGGCACAGTCTGTTGGCTTGGTCCCTACCTTTTCCTAAAATTTTAGGAGAAACCCTGATTTTTCTGTCAAAATGACTGCTTATTTCCATCTGTATGTTTGTAATGAAAAGTGTATAGTTCTGATTCAAAACTAGACTGAAAGCCACTTACAAAATGAAAAAATGGGTTTATAAAGTAATTCCCTTTAAAAAAAACATTTAAGAATCTGCAGGCAGCTTTGAGCTTGTTTAGTTGATAAATATTTAAGCTTGACTTCCTTAATTCTGAATGGCATCATTTTTTTAATAAAGTATTTAAATAGTCTAGTATGCCTTCAGTTGTACTCTTGCAGTCTGGTTTGAATAGAACATAAATGAGCCTGCAAATAAAAGTTCATGATCCAGTAACTGATTGGAGTAGCTTAGTACACCTGCCTATTGGTATGTTCATAATACCGTTTCATGTTTCTAGTTCTCTAGTTTTATAGTTGTGTTGAATGTGAGTAGAGAGTTTTTGAATTTTATGTAATTTGGGTAAGTTGCCACTTAAAGAAGCTTCTTCTAGAAAAATGTGTTTTCAGCAACTTCACACTGTAAAACTGGTATATTAAGCTAATGGATAATTCCAAGCATTGCAGGGCTCTTTTATGGAGAGACTGTAAAGGTGTGAACGCGGGTGTCAAGGAATCATTGAAATGGAAGAATCTGGGATTGAGTCAAAGAGGGGAGGTATAATTTAAGACACAACTTAGACATTCTGGGCATAGGGGTGAGTAAATCTGCATAATGTTTTTTGGTGTCTGTAATATGTTAGTATAGTTGTATTCAACAGCATTTTTGTTTCAAATGTTTTGTTAAAAACATCAGTGAATGTTTTCTCTCTTAGAACAATGATGTTACTCTCTTGAAGCAATACTGTATATGATTAAAGGCTTAGGCCTAGTTAATGTTAATGCTCTTTGATTTTTCTTAAATCAAAGGCAATGACAACTATTTCCTGATGCCTATCTTTCAGTTCTCAGTGTTAGCTGGCACTTAGCTGAAACTAAGTAATTGCATCATAACTAAAACATATTTTGTATACACTTTGTACACTATTCAAAAACAGAAGTATTAACACATCCTAGTTTCGAATTTTATTCTCAATTAATGTATTAACTCTGATGGTTGTGGGTCATGCTAGTGTTCTTTACTTATAATGCATTTACATTTGGTTATTCCTCAAATACCTGTGTGTATTGTGTTTTTCTTTGTTTAACCAAACGTGAATCTCCATTGTAGATGCTTTTACTGATTCAGCCATTGGTGTTAAAGTAAATGGTGAACACAAAGAGAAGGACCTTGAACCATGGGATGGGGGCGAGACCACTACCACTGAGGAGCTTGAGGCTTTAGAGACAGATGTTGTAAGTAAACTTATTTATCGTACATTGAAAACTTTCTAGAAAACAAGTTGTTTTGCCCCATGGTGTCCCTTAATTTCAATCTAGAATGGAATTTTAGTTGAAACTAAACTGTTTAAATAACATGGCTGTGTAGTGTAAACGTGTATTGTCATGAAAATTCATCATTTGCCAATGGATATCAGTTTCCCCTACAATTTTAAAAGGAATAACGGAATCTCGGACACCACTGTGATGGTGTTTAGTTGAAGTGCCGAAACGCCCTCTCTGAGGGTCCTGAATTACTTGGAGACTGGTCTTGAATGAGTTTCTACCTCTATTACATTGTCTTGATTTGCTGTGTGTGGTATAGCGACTAGTTTTATGCTACAGTGCAGCCTTTTTACCAAAGGACACAGTTTGTAATATGTAAGAATAAGAAAAAATTAGTATTGTAGATTAGAGGAGACTAACAATATGGTTCAAGAAATCTTTGTTCTGTAATGTTGCTGAGATCACTTACCTTATGAATAGTAATATTTAAATAGGTCATGTTCTTTCTCTATATACACCTTATTGGGTCATCAACTATTAAATATTTATAAAAGTATTGTAGTAAACATTCTGTATGTTTTGTAAAAATAACAAAATCTTAGTAATGCTGTTACTGTGGCACACAACACTTCACTAAGAAGTGGGGAGATAAAGTTGCTTTTGTGTGAGATCAAGGAGGGTCTCCCATTAGATACTTGTGTTGGTAGTGCATTTGAAAAGTTCCAGTACTTGCCACAGGGAGGAACACTGCATCCATTTCTGAAATATGGAATATCTGATTACCATTTTCTGCAAAGGAATCAAAGCTTTTGGCCAATGTAAGCCAGTTCATCATATAGTGCCGAATGAGAAGATACTAGCAGCAATACTGGATTTTGAGGGTAAAATATATGTTAGAGACTGTTTTGGGTTTGTAATTTCACTGTCTGATTGGTAAATCCAGGAGTAAAGGCAAAAGTTTAAACTTTCTGGCAACAGCCATAAATTTTAGGGAAATGTTTCCAGTGTCATTTTGAAAAATAAACCTCATTTTCTTCTAGTCTAATGGATGGGATCCTAATGACATGTTTCGTTACAATGAAGAAAATTATGGCATAGTATCAACTTATGACAGCAGTTTATCTTCGTATACGTAAGTTCCAAAATATTTTGTTCTTAGATTTGTATTAATATTCTCCATAGCTCATCTTCAGGTTATAAATTTAGATGCAGAATTTTTACCTACTTTCTGGAGTGATAAATACAAATGATACACACTGCAACTTTGTACTATTGCGGCTAATTTCAGTGGCGTTGTGATCCCCACTTGCCAGGTCGCAATGTCGCTCACTCAAATTTGGCCTGGGTGCCCCTCCATCATGGCGGAGGGCTAGGTGGGCCAAATTTTAATGAGTGGTGTTGCGATGTGGCACCCAGGGTTGCAGTGCTACTCAAATTTGGTTTTTGGCATGCATGTGTGTTTGTGTGGTTTGTTTTTTTTAATGGTACTTTAACTGACCGCAACTTCTAAGAAACTGTCCTCTCAATCTTTGAACCAAAAAACTCATAACTTTCTTAGCCTTACTTAACAAAACTTTGGCCCTGCTGCTGTAACTCCTCTATACTTTTTTGAACTGTAAATATCTCTCTTGTGTCTGTGTCCTCTGATAGCTATGGGAGCAGACTAAAAATGTAAAGATGACTTTAAATCTCAAGGGAAAAATTCACTGTTTCCCAATCATTGCAAGAGCAACACAAGCAAAATTGGTTCTGTATTTTTCCCACTAAATTGTGGGAGATTGTAGTTGGAGGAGGGGGAAGAAGGCTGGCTTTCTTTGAACATGCTAAATTCCTGTTGTTTGAATGTAGTTTAAAAAAAAAAAAAAAGTCTCTGGCAAAGGATTCATTGTCCGATTCTGTTGTTCCTGAGTTTGAATACTTATTTTACATTTGCAGCTGTGCTTCAACAACTTCATAAACTAGATACTTACACGCCAACAAGCATATTTGATTAATTCTTGTGCTGATAAACTGTTGTATATCAAGGTGGTAGGCACCTTAGTAATGCCTAACATAGGTAGACAATCGTGTGTTGGCTCTCACCTTCATTTCACTTTTTCTTGTCCTCTCCTTGATACAGACTGTGAAAACGCATTTTCTCTACCACTTTTCAGGTTGCCATCAATACTGCTGCGTGGATAGGCATTTTTTCATATAAAAGTTCTGTTCATATTTTTAAAATGTATTCTGGACTTCCATATCCATTTGACAAGCTGCTTTTGTCTAGAGCAGAGGTTCCCAAACTTTTTTTTATTGCGTACCCACTTCCAGACCGACCAGCTGACCAAATACCCCATCCCTTCTCATCACTGATACTTTGTGTATTCTTCTTAACACTACCTGTCTTTAGCCATCTGTCCATATTTCACTGTTACGAACAGATATAGTTATAGTGTGACATATACAACTGACAAAGTTCTGAGCTCAGTTAGAATGGACAGTTGCTGGGCAACTGAACCCGTCCTGAATGGTGATTGGAAGTGAGGGCTCTGTACATCAGTGTATCTCTGTTCTCATTCGTACATCTTGATGTAAATTAACTACCGTATTTTATATAATAAATTCCCATAGTTTTAAAGCTCTGAGTAGCCTATTATGAAAATGCAATAAATAAAATAATTAATAGATAAAATCCAGCATTACACAATATCTCCCATGTACCCCCAAATATGTCTGTTGTACCCCCATGGGTACGCGTACCATAGTTTGGGAATCCCTGCTCTAGAGAAAGTGCCAAGATATTTGAAAGCTGAAATTATCTGATGGGAGGACCAATCCCTTGTGCTCTAGGTGTTTAAGTCTTACTCCATTGTCAAGAATTTAAAAAAAGTTGTTGTGGCCTAAAGGTAGTATTGTGTTCTGTTTGTAGCAGCAGCTCCATTTGAGCTCTGTCATTGATGGTCCTTGGGTTAAGTGCTGTGTGAGCTGTCATGTTAATCTTATCCCTGCGTGAAGTTGGAAAGCAGGATTTCACTCAGCATTTTAGTGACTGGAAGGAGAAAGATGTTAAATGATTTCGTGTCTGCTGCAGAAGTGTCAAGCTCTTCTTAGAGCAGTGTCCCTGTGGGTGCTCCACTTCAGGGGCACCTGCACCTTTGATGGAAATTTTTGGTAGCTGTGCCTGTCTGGCCTGTGAATGCGCAAAGGCTATATGGGGCTGTGCGGGCAAACCACCCTCAGTTCCTTCTCAACCACCGTTGGCCTGAGATGGAGTCAAGTGTGTGCCTGTTCTGTAATATTTAGCTTTTTCTCAGATAGATACTTACTTACCTTACAGTGTTACGGTTGGTGGAACAATTGTTCATTTTGTTTTATCTTTTCTTAAAAAAACAAACAACCCCACCCCCTTTTTAGTCATAGAGGTAGTTGTATAGTTAAGAGATTTACCCTTTTTAGGGGTTAAATATTTGCCAGTTTTGCTCAGGAATGCTGGGCTCCCTGTGATTTAAAAGGTGCCTCTCTTGTCCTGAGGCTATTCTGATGAAGCTGCCATGCCTCCCCCACCTCCTATGGCAGATGACTTCAGTCAGTTTCAGAACCTGATGATGTGGATTGCTGACATGCAGACTCTCTTGGAGGAGGTTCAGGAGTCCCACCATAAACTCCTAGATATTTCACATACTTTCACATCTATGAAGATTGCCATTTTAGTCAATGACGTTCTTGTGGAGCCCACTCACATGGTTTGGCAAAACCCTGCTACCACACTGCATATCTTCAAGAGGGAGGATAAAAATATGTTCCAGTTAAAGAATCGGACTTTCTGTTTTTTCACCCAGCTCTGAAGTCTCTAGTAGTGGAGGCTGTTAATGAACAAGGCAGACAGCATAACTTGAAGTCCACCCTGTACAGTAGGGACCCACCACAAGCTTGAGCTTTTTGGTTGTAAATCTTATGCTTCAGCCACACTTCAGGATAACAAACTGTCAGGCACTCATGGGAAAATACAACTGTTTCACTAATATAATTAAATGTGTTATGAGTTAGCATCTACCAGATGAATTGGGACCAGTTTAAATCCATTATACAAGGTCAGTTCCTGGCAAAGATATCACTCCAGCCCTCCTTGGATGCGGCAGATACTGCAGCATGGTCCCTCTCCACTGCAGGGGTCATGAGAAGAGTGTCTTGGGTACAGCTGCCGGGCTTTACAAGAGAGGTTGAGTATTCTCGAAGGCTTACCCTTTGATGCTTGCAAGCTCTTTGTGGACTTGACTAATACATCTCTTCACACTTTAAAGGACTCAAGAGCCATGCTGCGATCCCTAGGGATTTACATTCTTGTAAAGAAAAACGAGATTTAGTAGGTCTCAGGCAGTCCAAAGAACACGCCCAGACCCATATTCAAAGTATTGTAGACCCTCTGAACCCCCAGCAAAGAAACTAAGATACTCAAGAAACCTCCTTCAGCTACATTTTCTCAGCCTTCTGTGTCCTCCAAGCGACAGTTTTGGTGGAGTGGTAGAAAATCTTAACCATTCAACTGACAAGTTCTTATAGCTGCAGCATCTTGCCT